ATAAGGGTTCAGCCCCTATATTTTTTGAATTTTATTTTCCTTCTTCCTTTTCTTCTCATGAATATGTTGATTTTCTATACTTTAATATGAAATTTATACTTTTCTTATGAAAATCATGAATAATTATTAAAGAAATATGGTTATGGTACCTAGGAAACTACCCTAGGATCTATGTTTTTAACATAAAAAAATCCATGCCTAGGCAACTAGGCGACAAGGCGCCCCCCAGTTGCCTAGCCTCGCCTTCGCGCCTTGAAAACTATGCTCGACTCCCAATTGCCAATAAAAACAATGTTGTCAACATACACAATAAGAGCTGTAATTTTTTCCTCCTCCCTCTTTATGAACAAGGTGTGATCTAATTGACTGTCTGAACCCCATTTGCTGAACCACCTTATTAAACCTATTGAACCATGCCGTGGGAGATTATTTCAGTCCATACAATGACTTTTTTAGCCAGCATACCTTATGCTCACTACCCTTAACCTGAAAATCCGATGATAGGATCATGTATACCTCTTTCTCCTCCAAGTCTCCATTGAGTAAAGTGTTTTTTATATCTAGTTGAGGAAGACTCCAATCAAGATTTGCTACCAAATAGAGAAGACGCTATTGAGTTCATCTTTGCTACAGGAGTAAAGCTCTCAACATACCAACCCAACTCCATAAACCTGTGTGAGGCCTTTTGCAACCAGTCTTGCCTTGTTTCTTTCAACAGATCCATCAGCCTGTTGCTTCACTAAAAATACACATTTACACCCTACTAGTTCTTTACCCCCAAGGAGACCCAGAAATTCCTAGGTTTTGATTTTATGAAGAGCATTCATTTCTTCCCTCATAGCATTTGTCTGCTTAGGCACAGTCAAGGCTTCAACAACATTCTTGAGAATAGGGGCATTAAAGATAACGAACAAGAAGGCACAAAAAGAAGGTAAAAATTTTGCATAAAAGGTGAAGTTAACAATGGGATATTTGGTAGTACATGTATAGACACCTTTACACTTTGTAATAGGAAGGTCACGATCATTCAAAGTATCATAAGTATCAACAGGATCAAGCATACTTGACTGGAAGGGGCATGTACTACCTCCAGATTTTCCTCCAAGGAGTTTGGTGGTGTCAATTGCATGGCTTTCGATCCCTCCACACCTTTTGAACCAGTGTTTTAAAAGGCATGGGAGGCGTACGCCTGGAGGCACGCCTCCAGGTGGGATATTTGGTAGTACATGTATAGACACCTTTACACTTCGTAATAGGAAGGTCAAGATCATTCAAAGTATCAGAAGTATCAACAAGATCAAGCATACTTGACTGGAAGGGGCATGTACTACCTCCAAATTTTCCTCCAAGGAGTTTGGTGGTGTCAATTGCATGGCTTTTGATCCCTCCACACTTTTTGAACCAGTGTTTTAAAAGGCATGGGAGGCATACGCTTGGAGGCACGCCTCCAGAGCAAGGCACTCCCAAAACGCCCTGAGGCATATGCCAGAGGCACTAACACCTCTAAGGCATATGCCTCATGCGCTCTCGCTCGCTCGCCTCCACTTCGACAAGACCCCCCCCCCCATTTCAAATAGTGCTATGCATCTTTGTGCTTCTTAATATAAAAGATTTTTATTAAAAATAAAGAAAAAATGAGATCCCCCTCTCCCTCTTCTTCCTCCTCCCCTTCGTCCTCCTTCCTCCTGACCCCCTCCTCTTAAGGAGGCTTACGCCTCTTACGTTCTGAACTACACCTCACGCCTCTAGGTAGTGGAACGCCTCGCATCACACCTCCATGTTTTAAAACATTGTTCTGAACTTGGCTGATCCATACGGCGTCATTTATGTGAGAACACGTGAAAAGGAGCATGAAGGATGGCAAGGGGATCTACCTCTCCTCCACACTGTCACACTTCTCCCCCTAAAGAGAGGTATGGAAGTAGAATCAACTCTCAAAGAAGAAAACATCCATGGAAACAAAGAATTTCTTGGAGACAACATCAAAACACTAATAACCCTTTTGGGTAGAAAGATAGCCCAAAAAGACACAAGTGATAGACCTTGGATCCAAGGGGTAGATCATGAACAAAACATTGGAAGCCAAACACATGTAACGGGATAGAGAACAAAGGAGACTTGAGGGAAGAGGTTGGTGAGAGGCCTTAGTTTATAATATCTGTGAGGGCACCTTGTTAATTAAGTACACTACAATAAGGGCAGCATCCACCCAGAATCTCTTTGGGGCATTCATATGAATCATTAGACCTTGAAGTTACCTCCAATAAAGTTGTTTCTCTAAACAACATTGTTCTGCTGAGGGACATGGTTTTCAAAACCGGACCGGACGGTCAAACCCGAAAAACCGGGAACTGGTCACCTGACCGGTTCCGTTTTACCCCAAAACCACTTTTTGGCCAAAAACCTTTGATTTGGTCAGCGAACCACTGGCCCGGGCAATCAAGCCGTCAAACTGTCGACCCAAACAACAGTTTTTGGCCATTTTTTGCTTTTTTAAAATTTTTTCTATCAAAGCGGGCCATCCGTTTGGACCGTTCAACCCAGGGACTGGACCCTAGAATGGTTCCCTGTCCAGTCCGATTTTAAAAACCTTGCTGAGGGGTTCTAGAACATGAACTTCTAGCAATTGAGCCACATGAAGCAAAAACTCGTTTAAGTTGCCTTTGAAAAAAATATATATTCTGCATAGAAACAAACAAAAGACTTACATTAAGCACATTAAGGAGTTAAAGATAGAAAGACATACCTTTGTTGCCAAAGCAAATGCATATTCTGCAACAACTGTTTTTCCGGCTGATGTATGAGCTGCTACAAAAACAGAATCCCCCTTTTCAAGATAGTATATAGCCTGCAAGTAAAACAGAATGGTGAGGAGAAAATAAATTTATGATACATGTTCTCTGCTATATAAGAGAGCTGAAAGCAAGGAGAGGAGAGGAGAAAAGGTTTAGAGAGCCAAAACTAGTGGCGCCCACACAATCTTACGCAAATAGGGTGAACATAATAAATACCCCTACACCTAAGAATATGAATTAACTAACAATACCCATAATGCAGGCTGCTAAGTCACTTTTTTTTATTGGTAACAATAACTTTTATTAAGATGTTTAAAAGAATAGTGAGTTAATTACAGATGGTACATAGAATACCAAGCATTCTCCTAGTCAGGCTGGCATCCATTCCCTCCATGTATACTCCAAAATATTATGTTAATTAGATTAAAATTCTCTATATTATCATGAGGGAGATTCTTGTAATCAATATCTAAAGTCAGTAGGAAGTACAACTGTTGTAAATAACCATAAGCAAAAAATCACCTCTTCACAATAAATAGGATAATAACAACAGTGATGATAAAAGTATTCCTGATTCTCCATCAGTCCATCCCATCAACCAAAGGTGCTTATTCATGCAACAACACAAAATAGAGTTTTGATGCCCCTATCACATGTTTTTGAATTTTTGATAGAGAAGAACAGTAGGACTGGATTCATGATTCATCTAACCAACCTCAAATGGTTGGGATTAAGTCTGAGTTGACTTGGGTTGTATATATTACATTGGATGAAAAACGAGAAAGAATTAAATAAAAAAAGAAAAAGCATAGAAAATCAAAAGGTGTTCGAATAACAGCTTGTGTAGATACTGATAAAAAATAACACCTTTGTGTTCTTTTGGAATGAAATAATACCAAAAAAATACAAAATAGAATTCTTAACATCTATGCAGTCAATGGCTTTGACTCAAAGCCTTTGGCGATAAGGGCTCCCGAGGCCGAGGAAATGAATAAAGCAAAGAATAATGGATGACAACATGATATATGTTAATCAATGCAGTCAAGTTCTGCAAGATTTAAAAAAAAAAAAGTTAAAAACTAAACTATTTTTGAGAAGGGTGAGGAGGTAGCCAAATAATGGGTGACAATATGATTTATTAAGCTTATTCCCTTTTACTAGTTAATGGTACTCCAAGGTATTTTTGTAGCTTTGGAAGTCTTCATCAAGTCCAACCTCAAAAGAAGTAGACAGAATGTCTTCTTCTTTCCTTTTTTTGGGCAATTGTACATTTATGGTCTACAAGTGACTTTCTTTTCTTAGCCCCCTTGTAAATGTAGAATTATACAAGATACCCCAAAAAATTACCAAATCATAAATTCACCCTAAAATCCTCCAACACTCTACCCTTCCTCTAGGGACCAAATGCCCCTTTAAATCACAATGGCTGTCAAAGCACTTCGAGAAAAGATTAATCTAATGGGGAAAAGCTACATTTCTCATTTAGTAATCAGTAGACCTATTTTCCTCTTAGTCTTCTCGTGTGCATTGAGATTAAGAGAGATTCCCTTAGGAACTGATAATGATGAACTTAGAAATACTAGCCAAAAATGTGCTCAAGCATTGAGAAAATAGTTGAATAGCTCATTCAAGTGGATTCCAAGGCCTGCATATGACTTGCCCGATGCCTTGGCTAAATCAGGGGGTATGAGGAATTGTCTCCTTTGGGGTACAGCTGGGCCAGGGTCGAATGTGCTCTGTTCCTAAATATCAAACCACTGCTTTGGTATACCTTGTACTTTCCCCTCCTACTCATTTCTGGGTAGGAGGGAGTTTTTTCTCTATCAATATAATTTACTATTATTGATGAAAAAAAAAAGTGATGCCAATACAAGAACCAACCAAGAAAAATGACCAGGAAAGTTAGAGCTCTGTAATAAGGATCACAAGAAAAAAGAACATGGAAATGCAAATCCATTATCATCATGTTCATCCATGCCTTATCCCAACCATATGGGGTTGGGCTACATGAATCATGTTTCGCCAATCCATATCATCAAGGAGTGAAGAAGCATTGCCTAAAAGGTTTAATAAATAAAATTTCAATAACCTAGTTGGTCACAGTTCATAAAAACATGTTATATATGACAACATAAGCAAAGTTTCTTCTTCCACCAGATATCATGGTTACAACTAGTTTTTGACCACCATGTCCAGCCATAGTAATTTACCACTGACAAGAGATAGTACATTTAGATGTGTATCAAGAGTAAAAAAAAGAGTACCTCCTTTTGAAATTTATCCAACTCAAAAGGAAAATCGAGGGCCAAGTCAGGAACAAGTTCATAAAAATGATCTATAATCTCTTCACTCCCTCCACTAACAGCCCAAGCCTGCAATCAAGAAAGGGAGGAAACACATAACAACCAAAGCATAGTCAACAATAAGATGTGCAAGTTCTTTGAAGATATATAAATAACAAGAAAAAGTAGATTAGTGGAGGAATGACAGCTCAAAAAAGACTATTATCTAAACTAAACTGTGAGAAAATCTGAGGCATAAAATGATCATTAGTGAGCACCTCTTTATGCTGTTGTCCACTTGTCCCACTAGCTTCATTGGATTTCGATGCTGATCCATCTGGATCAGCCAAAAGTATCTCATCTAATAGTGAAGATTCAGTTTCAGGGATGCTACTGGATAAATGTTTCTCCTCTTCTATTGCAGCTACCATCTTAACTGATTCACCTTCTGACTGAGAATCTTCACAAACAATGTTGTTATCAATAGAAAGAGAAAAGCTCCTTTACCAAACCAATTGTTAAAGGCTTAGTACAGCATGAGTTATGCCAGGCAACTTAACCACAGAATTGATACAACTGAGGTAACATTTATCAGATATAGAAATAATACAAGACATCAGCAAGTAAACACAACCACTCAACCAGTACCAAGCATCATAGTGTTGATAACATAATATTATACTTCAAGTAAGGATTCTGCAATGACTAATACACAAGGATAGCAGCAAGGTTTCACGCTTACAACATCTTTTATAGATTGCTGCACTCAAGTATATGGATAAAGGTTTTCCACTCAAACGAGAGAAATTTGAAGACAGTGACAACATATAACTATACTCCTAGAAGAGTATCATAAGAAAATTAGCTAAATGATATGAGACCAAAAGTAGAACAAAAATGAAAATACATCACCAACTTCGTTTCCAGGAACTTCAGAACAAAAAGGAACATTTAGGCTTCAATTTTTATAAAACATGCAGACAGAAACAAAGTGCCCTTGCATATTGTCTCGTTTCCAGAACATAGGACACCAAAATATTAGCAGTTTTACACGTGCGGAAGCAGAAACCAAGTTCAGACCATACATACCATCTCCACCTAATTCTTCAGTGACATCGCCAACCCAAGCTTTCTTGAATAAGTCATCAAACTGTACAGACAGCCCCATCTACATATAAAACAATTGCTAAAAACATAAGTCAACATGGAAAATGAGAATAGGGCATTTTTCACTTTACAAGTAATATCCGTCATGTACATATTATGATACATGCATCTAATTAGCATGGTCTGTCTTTTCCATATTTAATATTTGAATATGAAGCATAAGATATTAAAACAGATCTTGCAAATACATTAACTGACCAGCTTTTCATTTGATGAGCTCTTGACTAAACTTTGGTCCATGGTGATCTTCCATGAGGATGAATATGCCTTCAAATAGGTAACAAAGAGAAGTTGGTAGATTAAACTATTTATGCTTATCCCTTAACTTTCTTTGTAACACAAGAAAAATGTTTTAAAACTGAACTGCATTACCTTGAGACCACCAAGATCCAATCCTCTCTTAAAACTTGGAGGAATGACCTGTGGAGGACCACCATCTAAAATTTCACGTACCCAGTCACCATTGCATGCACCCACCGGAAGTGTCCTTTCTGAATATTGAGAATCCTGTAAACCTCCTGGACGAAAAGGACGGTTGTTGATGCTGCCTCTAACAAAATCCTTTGCTGGTCCAGGCATGCGTGGCAAAGGCCCAGAATCTTGAGTCCCTTCCATTAGTTCTGACACCTCAACCTGAAAATTATACAATAAATAAATAAATCAACAATAATATGTTGTAATTCTTAACTGCCTATTGATTGAATGGCTAAGAACTGCACAAAAGCACAAGAAGAATGTGATATATAACCTGCACTGAATTGGGTTCCCATATTTCTTGAGCAGTTCCCTTCCTTGAGCGTCTAAATGGCAATTCCCATGTGGGAACCACCACAGACCGTGGCAATGAGGGCTCCAAATGCACTTTGGCCTTATCAAACCAATCAATATCCCACTGCCTTCCATCTTTTTCCGGAGAAAATTCATTGGGATCCAATTCTGGTGAGAGATATTTCTCCTCCAGGTACTGCTTTACAGATTCAGTAGTCTCCGGTGGGAATGCTGGAGGCTAAAGATGGAATTAAAGTCAGTAGAGGAGATGAGGATGATGATGATGATGTCATGTGCACCGTGAATATTATTATTACAGAGATAAAATGCGACGGTTATGTAAGAAATCATTTGACGTGGGAACATTTATGGATTAATATAAGACAAATAATGTCATGTCGGACAAAAAGAATTTAATCTAATTTGCTGCCCGAGTGCACCAAGTCCTCAGACGCCCAATTCAAGTTTTCTGTATGTCGTTTTACTTTTCAAAGTCCAAACAAGCTAAACATCATTTCATTCCCAGAAAAAAAAAATACTCAGTCGTTAATTTACCAAAGCTTCAAGTGATATTGTCAGGGGAAACCTACAACACCTAAAATAGCAAATATGAAATCCTGGAATCATAGAATTATTTCAAATGTATAAAAAATAAAAGCTAAGAAAACGCAATTTATCATCAAACGGGAAAAAATAATTGAAATTGCAACGCTAACAACCTGTAGAATTCGGTTCCGAAGCCTTGGACCACAACTAACAATAACAGAAACGTGATAATATTATTAAATAAGCTTCTAATGATAACTCAAAAAATCAAGGGTTAACGGGCTTAGGCTAGTAGGCTAGTAGCCCTAAAGCAGGATTTAAAAAAAAAAAAGGACAAAACTTGAAAATTTACGTGAATCAAATGTATTCAAAAATAAAATCTGAAACAGTTCAAAGGAAGAAGCACTGACGATAATGAAATCAGGGAGAGCTTTAAGAGGATTCTCCCGTTCGTTCGGCGGGAGAGGCTCGAGTCTGAGGTGTCCGCTGTGACCAGAAAATCCAACTCTGAAAGCGAGCTCATTTGCTGCAACTATCCGATCCATGTATCGCATTTACTTCTTTCGTTTTCTTTTTTTTTTTTTTCTAGTTCACTGAAACTGCAATATGCCCAGTAGCGGACTCTGTTTGGAAGACTTCCATGTTCGCGGGGGTTTTGAGTGAGAACCGGGAAAAGTTGCATATCATTGTGAACCAGGTGCAACTCGAAAGAGCAATGTTTAAACCTGCGTTTGAGCTGTTGGAGATTTCGCTGTTTCCCCCAAATTTTCGGATATAATTACAAAGCCTACTCCCATGCACATCAACTTTTCAATGTTACGTCTAACATGTCTCCTCTTTTTGCTCAAACCCTAAAATTTGCAATAAATCACATGATCTTGTAAGCATGGTTTCAAGTTTTCAACTTTCAAAAAATTATCCAGAAATGAAACATCTTTGGCCATCGATTTTCGGGTCAAGTGGTTTTACTTTTACTGTCAAATCCGAACCCGGCCAAATGGTTTTGGTTTTGGATCCAAACTAGACTCAGAGAGCCATGACCAATTGTCAAACGATCCAACCCTTCAATCCAATTCGGTTTTCAAAACCATATTTCTTGGTAGGTGACGAACAAATCGAACTTTCCAAACCCGAACTAGTAGAATCGAAAACCGAAACCGATGTTTGATTAATCGAATCGAAATATTTTTTATTAATTTGGTTGTTTCGATTAAACCAAACTTCAAACAGGTGGATCATTCACTGATCCCACCAAAATGCAAAACATAGTAACTTCAAAAAATTTGACTTAATAACTCCTGAAAAGCGGGGGGGAAATAATAGTTCAGTCTTGCTCACTATTATATTATAGTCTTGGAGATTCACTGTTATAGTCTTGCTCATTTGACCCAAACACAGGCGCTGCAGGACAAGCTTTCATTTTTCAAGACACCGGTACATAGAAATCTCACAATAGCTGAAGCAAGAAGTTGTTGGGCCATAGAAAGTTATGATGCGGAGTTTAGTGCCTTAGTGGTCTAGAAGCAGTTTCAACAGCCGCTATAGTTGATATAACAATGTATTTTGATTGTCAAAAATTTGTTAATCTCTTCACAATTTATACCAGACCAAGTTCATGGGTATAACAGATTCGCTGGGGGACTGCTTAGTTTTCAATACTTCTCACTTATTCATGTAAATAGACAGTTAAATCTAATGGCCCATCGTTTTGCTTACTTTGCTTGTAAGGATGAAGTTACTCTAGCATATCATTTTACTACTCACAATCATGTACAATTATTTTATAATCAATGAAGCATTTTTTGTGCGTCAAAAAAAGGATTCACAATTGCAATCTTGTAAATTCACAGATGCTCACCATTGTAGAATAACAGGAAAAAAAAAGAAGGAACATATTCTTAGATGGTCACTAGTTGCTGCCCACCACTACATTAATTGATGTCACCGCTCACTAATTGTAGATGACAAAAGATGAAACCCAACCAAAAGGTCACCGACGCCTGGGCGGCAAAACAGAGAGTCTCAAAGGGGAAGTTGTAAGGAGTTTTGAGTTTTTACATACTTTTATCCCTAGAAATTCGGTTAATCGAATTGCTAAATGCCATAATCAAAATCGAATATTGAACTCTAATAAACCAACATTTAAAACAGAATCCCCAAACTAATTGATCCGAAAACACCAAACCCGAAATTTTGATTTAACCGAAATATGCTCACCCCTATTTCTTGGTGCAATGGATAGCCTTCTCACTTTATGCACATGTATACACTACTTTAATCTATATATCTTTGCTCGTTTTGTCATTCGTTGGGATACTCGTGCTCATTTCAAAATCTATGTAATATTTTGATCAAACGAATCTATTACCAAAAAAAAAAAAAAAACAAGTACCGTTTTTATATGGTTTTATTAATTATCTATCTCAATATTTATGTTTTGTTTTTTGTTATATTATTTCTTTATTATCCAGCATTTTTTGTGACATGTAACAATTTTTAGCCTTCAATCTTCTTCGCATCTATATTCTATACATATTTATATATTATATAAAGTAAATACTTGTATTGGTTTTGATGATGCGTGATTTTGTGCTCCCTACTAGAAGACAGCTCAGATATCAGGTTGGTAAGGTCGCTTGGGCGAACTGTAAGAGAACAATATCAGAGTGTCCGAGTTGCTTTATTCAGGGTGAGCACTCAGATGCTTAACTTAGTGAATAATGTTTTGGAGAGCTATAATGCAAGAGAACTTAAGTTGTGAGAGATAAATCATGTGCACATTCTCTGATCATCGAGACACCTTTATATAGGCGTAACTTGTTGTGAAATTCATGTAGCACGTTCGAAATCACCAGCCCATCAAGTTCGGAGGTGGTTTCACGCCCGGAAGCGGACTTTGCGTAAAGCAATAATGCTTATCCGGTTACCCTCCGAAATAGGCGGGATGGGATCGGTTCCGTTGGCATAGCAACGTGAGCCCAAAAGAGTTGGAAATGATAACCCACTCGTGAAATAGGTCACYAGTCACATCATGCAAGTCACCAATTGGGCCACAGCTAGGTCGGCAAAGGCAAGTCGCCTCTTATGCCAACCTGGTACTCTTTAGGGCGACCATAGGTTGGCCTACCAATGTGGGGTCGAGGAGACCAAGGCGGGTGCGACATGCCTAACGAGCTTTTGAAGTTGATGTTTACATGGCATTGAGGTGTCACTTGATAGTTCTGTGGTGGCTAGGTCATTGGAGGGCCAAACCACCCCTTATTTGCCCACTTGCATAATACATGCCTATAATTTAGTTTTATCCTTTACACTTAGCCTTCAATCTTCTTCGCATCTATATTCTATACATATTTATATATTATATAAAGTAAATACTTGTATTGGTTTTGATGATGCGTGATTTGGTGCTCCCTACTAGAAGACAGCTCAGATGTCGGGTTGGTAAGGTCRCCTGGGCGAACTGTAAGAGAACAATATCAGAGTGTCCGAGTTRCTTTATTCGGGGTGAGCACTCAGATGCTTAACTTAGTGAATAATGTTTTGGAGAGCTATAATGCAAGAGAACTTAAGTTGTGAGAGATAAATCATGTGCACATT